TCAACGGTTAAAACCCCTTGAAGGACACACTGACGAAGTATACACTCTTGTGTGTTTGTATATATTATTGACTACACGTTTAATGTAATGACAAAATTATTTTTTTTAGCATGTATAAAATAAATCTCAATTTTAATATTGTAAATGTATAAATGCAGACGTGAGAGAATTTTTAAAAATACTATCGAAAATTTATTATTCACGTTAATCCGTCTTTTATCGCAGAAATTTCGTTTTTTTTTTATTTTTTTTTTTTTTTTTTTTTTTATAATACGACGAATAAATATACATAAAATTTACATAAATCAAAAAAACAAAAAATGTATGAGTTCTTGAACGGTATACGAATTTTTTTTGTTTTTTTTTTTTTAGGTCATATATAATTTATACTTTCATAGATATTTCTTTGTTATCAACAAGTAAATACCAAAACACGTGGAGTAATTTTATGATCTATATTTAATTATTATTATTATTATACAATACATTAAAGAGATACGCGCAACCAACATACTAACCCACATACAATCTTCAAATTTACGCACCACAAACTTGAATTATCATCCTAAATAGTTTTCCTCGCTCGTTTTGCCATAATTAAAAGCTTTTTTTTTACTGTTTACCGCATTTTCGTACTATTCATTATCTTTTCACTACTAAAGTTTGAAAACTCGATCTTTTTACTGTTTCTTTTTTTTTTTTAATAGCATACATAAATAAATTTAACTAATTGCACTCTAAATTTACGCGTGTGTGTACGTGAGTGTGTTATCAAAACAAAAAAAATATTGTAAAGACGTCACGTAACGAAACTTGTATTTTCTTGTTTTTAAAATTTTTAACAATAACTAAAAGATAACAAAATCAATTTTTTTTTTTTACAAGGATGTAGCATTTTAAAAGATCCAATGTTTTCAATATGTGTAGAGTAAAATATTAAATAATAATAATAACAATTTTATAGCTGATAAATTAATAACCAAAATTAATATACAAAGGATCCATTTTATAATTGGCAAATTAATAATCACAATTAAAATAAAAAGTCTATTTTTAATAATACCGATTAACCTTTGCTTACCACCCTTCCTCGTGTAACACGCTTACCACATCCAGGCAAAAAAAATCGTTATAAAAAAGAAACTATTGCATAGATTTACTCGAACATTTATTTTGAGATTTCTTTAATACTTACTTAAAAAGACTATATAAGTTTTATAGTTTTAAATTAAATGTAAATATGTTGAAAAAATTATCAAAGTTGAACAATTGAGAAAAATGACTCAAGTTACAAAAAAAGTCTGGATCCTTTGGACCAAGTGTGGTAAGCAAAGATTAATAAACATTGACACTTATTACATGCGTATTTACATTAAATACGAATTAATATTATTATCACTATTATTATTACAATATATATATATAGAAGAAATTTTGTTTTAAAAAAAAACAAAACATTTACCTTACGATACCCTTGGTTGCAGCCTCAGCAAAACTTCGTACATCATGATAATCCATGTTGAGTGGACCCGTTGGACTATAAATGAGCCTTTTCGCAGGTAAATTGATCGGTAGGACAGCACCGATTACGCCAAGGGCGGAATCGATTTGTGCTGCACTATATAGAACCGTTTTGAACGGTTCTGGTTCATCGAAGCCAGGTGCATTACCTGACACTAAGATTATGCCATCGTAATCGCAGCTACAAATGTTCGATTCAATCTTCAGTTGACAGGGCATCCATCTGAAACAGATTGTCATCTTATCTCAACTGTCGAAAGTAAATACACCTACCCATATACACATACATATACATATACATATACATGACGATATTATTCATGTGAATGTTATTCATCGTGAAAATTAAAATGGAATTATTTGTAATATAATATATTTTAACATGCCAATTAACTGTTGAATTCAATTTTGCAATGCACATTGAATGCATTCAATTGAATTATTCATTCGTAGATGAAAATATTTTTCTTTTCTTTTTTGTTTATTTGTTTGTTTATTTGTTTGTTTGTTTGAATAAATACGTAAAAATAATTCTTACAAATCGTGTTACGCGTCAAAAAGTTGCGTGACGATTTTCCACGTAAATATATATTTTTTTTAATTCCGTGACCATGTATATTTTTGGTAGATTCAATTTTCAGACAAAAATCGTATACGACACACACACACACAAACACACAACGTGAACCTTTTCGAGCAGATTGCATACGAACGTTATTCTAGAAATTGTATAAAAAATTATCTGCCCTTTTTATTTTTATTTTTTAGAAACTGCTATATA